GCAATCTAAAAAATACTGGGCTGGATCCAGTGACTCCCTTTTGTTAAATGGAAACCTTGCCTCTGGCTGAAAGAGCCTCGCTGCAGCAAAGGAACTCTAACCCTAACCCTTACTTAACTGGCACTCTCATACACATTGAATAATGCACTTTCAATCCACTTCCAATGCACTTTAGTTTCAAGTGCATTTCAAGTGGATTTTTGTGGTTTCACTTGGTTTCAGGTGGATTTTTATCATTTCACACAGCTGCAAAGTACATTGGGAATGGACCGAACGCACATTACTCAGCATGTGTGAAAACGTAGTCAGCAAAGTTTTTTTTAAAAAGCCTTTGCGCCCACCCTGAAAATAACAATATTAAGAATATAAACTGTATACTTTTGACAGCTGCTGTTTTCTGTTGATTGGTGTAGGCTGTATATATGGTTAAACTAGCTTATACCGTCTATATTAAGCAGACATAGGTAGAAACTTAATCATTTGAATCTGTTTTTGAAATAAATGGAGTTTGTCTATAAATACCCTGTGAGTGCAAGGCAAAAGCTATCGGGGAGGAAGAGAAGCCACATCAGGATTCAGGACGGGTCAGGACCAATCCACAGGACCACAGACAGCAAACAACTTCCTCTGAAAATGCTCAGAGTTGAGCTGGTCCTGTATATGCTGGGGCACAGGGATCTTTTTGTAGAAAAAGCCCTGCAGGAACTCATTAGCATAATAGGCCACACCCAACAGCAGGAACTCATTAGCATATTGGGCCACACCCCTGAAAGCACAGCTCATTAGCACATTAGGCCGCACCCCCATGTTACCAGAAGTGTGGTTATCCAGCCACACCCACCTTTTGCTTGTTCTTCTGTTTACCTTGTTTGTTGTCAAAACCCAGGGCTTTTTTGTAGCAGGAACTCCTTTGCATGTTAGGCCACACACCCCTAATTTAGCCAATCCTAATGAGTTTCTGCTGTTGGGTGTTGCCTATTATGCTAATGAGTTCCTGCTGGGCGTGGCCAACTTGGGAGCCAGCTGGAACTCCATTCCTGTGCGTTCCTGCCCAAAAATAGCCCTGCTGGGGAAGATCCTCATGTCAGGACTAAATCCCATCCCTCCTTGGTGAGGAATAATTGAAAATGGCAGCGGCGGTGGGGGGGGGGGGCTGTGTACCTTCTTCTGTGGCTTCTCGGACAGCCCCAGGGAAGGGACACTGGGCAGTCAATGGTGTGGTGCTCAGATGATCAGGGCACTTCAACCCAGGTCCTGGATTCAATAAATACAAGCCTTGACAGATTTTCTTTAGCTTTAGAAGCCACCCCAAAAGATTAGGAGCCAGACTTCTCCTCCAGCCTTCAGGGTTTTATATTTTAATGATCATAACATCCTCAGTATGGTTACCGCCAAACCTCATTCTAAACTTTTCACAGTTTCTTGTCATTTTTATTTAAAGCTGTAACAAAAACATTGTGGTATATAAATAAATATAGGGTAAATCTAGTTGTCATGACAACAACAAGCTAACCTCGATCCCTCACCTAAATACACCATGTACTTCTATTGAGAATCACCAAGAGGCATTTCAGTAAGTGACTGAGGAAAATACTAGGTGCCACAATGAAATTTCTAGGTGTCACGGCATCAAGTGCCTGAGATTTGTGGAGCCCTGCAATTATACCACTTCCTTGCAGGTCTGTTCCTCTCCAGACTGGGCTGTGAGTTCCCAAGGGCTATGTGGGACCTCTGAAACCAAGTCTTCTAGGCTGATAGTTGGGTCTGTGCTAGGGACAGGTCACATCATGAACTCACATGAAGTTGCCTTATACTGAATCATACCATTGGTTTATCAAGGTCAGTATTGTCCACTCAGACTACAGTGGCTCTCTACAGTGTTAGGCAGAGATCTTTCATATTACCTACTACCTGATATTTTCACTGGAGATGTCAGGGATTAGACCTGGGACTTTCTGCATGCCAAACAGATGTTCTACCACTAGGGCTGCCAACCTCCAGCTGGCACCTGGAGATCTCCTGCTATTACAGTTGTTCTCCAGCTGAGAAAGAGCAGTTCCCCTGGAGAAAATGCCTGCTTTGGAAGCCGGACTCTATGGCATTATACCTTGCTGAGGTCCCTCCCCTTCCCAAACTCTGCCTTCCCCAGGCTCCACCCCCAAAATCTCCAGGTGTTTCCAAGATGGCAACCCTACCACAGAGCCACAGCCCCTCCCGAGGTCTGGCGTCAACCTCCTCTCTGAGTCAGAGTTGTCTGCATCAGAAAACCCTAATGACAACACCAGTGGGTCCAAGTGCTAATCTCCCATTTGAAAATCCAACTTCCAGCTCCCCACCAGTCAACCTTATTGGACTGGAAACAGCCCAAGATTATGGGTGCCAGAGCTGATCAATCACAGCTGCATTTTGAACCGGCACTGCCAATGTGTCGTGGGGACCAAGGATTGGGGGGGGGGAGGATGGGAAAGTAATTTTAGGCAATATGTCATAAACTAATAACAATGAAAGCTGCCCTAGAGTGATTGCTGGATATTAAAGTGTTTCATCTTCCCCCTTTGAAAATCCACTGCAAATCTGACAAATCAACAAGCCTTGTCCTTGGGGTCATTATCGCTTCCTAAATTACAGGAGCCTGAAGATGAACATTAAGGCTTAGAAGTTACTCAGTGTGTCCATTAATCAAAACCAGCCCAGCCACAATGAAGCTCATTAGTGTTTGTTTATTCCCCAAAAAAGAAAAGAAAAAACTCTCCAGAAAAACCCAACAATGACAAAGCTGAGAATATCTGTGTCTTAATCAGAAGCAAAACGAAGGCAATAAAATAACTCCCGTGAAAAGAAAAGGTCCCTAAAGCAATCCATATGGATGCATCTGTATTATGCAAACAAACACATTGTTATTGTCCAAGATAATGCCAGTTCCATTCCTCTTGGAAACGCAACAATGAGCTGGGTTTTCCTTCAGGCAGAGAAAACTATTTATGTGCAACAAAAGCACAGAATGTGGTTTTTTGTGCAGAATTCACCTCACTGAAAATCATTTTTTAACAAAGAGTGTCTAGCTCATATGGTTTTGAAAATATCTAGAAAATTCCAGTGTCAGAAGGACCTCTGGCAAACACGTTCAGTAGCTGGGGCACAACTTAGAGCTCCTGGGCTGACCACCTAATCAGAATATACTATGCAGAACAATTGTGTTTGTCTGTCTGTTTTGGGAAACCCCCCAGACTGAATTGTGAAAAACAGAAATGATGCCAATTTGTTCAAATTACTTAATTAATACAGAATAAAGCTTTGAGTCCAGGGGCACCTTTAAGACTAACAAAGTTTCATTCTGGGTATAAGCTGTCGTGTGCATGCATACTTCTTCAGATAATTCATACAGAATTCAGCATTTCTAAGCTCAGAATACCTAAGCCTGGAGTATAGAAACAGTCCTTATAAATCAGCATGCCTGGACAGTGTGTGGGGAAAGTACCTGATCACTCATGAGTAAATCCAGCAGTTCCTCCTCAAATTTCTCTAACGATGGGTACAGGCGGATGGATAGCTTCTCCAAGTACCAAGTGACTGTCTTCATGAGCCGTGGTTTCTGGAGGAAGTCATCTGCAAAACAAAGTCAGAGGCTATAGCTGGAAAGAACACCTGCCCTTTTCAGGCCTTAACAAAGACAGGGATCAAATGCAAGCCATGAGAAACCCATTCCTTGTGGCCTTCTAGTCCAATCTCCTGTTCAGTGCAGAAAAACCTAATGCAAGAGCAATCCTAGCCTCTGCCTGAAGGCCTCTGATGAGGAAGCACCGCCTGCCTGTTGATAGTTGGTTCTCTTGTCAAAGTGCTCTTACCATTTGGAAGTTTCTGCCAACGTTCCACTGCAATCTGCCTTCCTGTAACTTAAACCCATTAGATCTAGCCTTCTCCTCTGGAGTATCAGAAAACCAGAATTTTACTGATTGTTTTTGTGCTGTATTTATTGTTGTTACCCACCTCAGCTCCTGACTGTGGCAGGAGAAAGGCAGGGTTCATGACTACCCTAAAAATCAAAATAAATTCCACATGACAGCACATCAAGAATTTGAAGAACACAGTCATACCCCCACCCCCAGTCTTCTCTGCTCTGAGCTGAACATATGAAGTCCCTATAATCTATTCTTAAGAACTTGTTTTCCAGATAGCCTCTCCCACCTTCAAGCTGGCATTCTCCCATCGAAATACAGAGATCAGTTCCCCTGGAGGAAATGGCAGCTTTGGAGGGCAGGCTCTATGGCCTCACATCCCTGCTGAGCTTCCCTCCCTCCCGCAACTTCTCCTTCCTCAGCCTCTACACCCAAATCTCCAGGAATTTACCAAACCAGAGTGCGCAATTCTGTTTCCAAACCCCTTACCATCTTGGTTACCCTCCACAGAACCTGTACCAATCTTTCTACAGCTTTTTAAAAATGCAGCACCAAGAACCAGGACACAGTTTCCAAGAAATACTGAAAAGTCAGCAAAACATTACGATAGGCTGGAAAAAGATTGAGAGTTCTTTGATGCACACCCAGGAAACTTTTTTTAAAAAAATACCATAGCTGGAGAAGCAAAGGCTAATATCCTAAGCATGCTATTATAAATGTTCTGGAGTCAGACTTGATTTCTGTACCATTAAAAGTTGCACAGGAGAGGCAAAAAGAAAGGTATGACTCAATGATAAATGTTTTCAGCTGGGGAGATATACAAACTCTTTGGGAAAAGTCCAACTTTATAACTCGCAGCATCAGCAATTCAAGAGAACTTTCATTTAAAGAACCATTGTGATTTTTCCACCTATGGGTCTGTTTACATTATTACATTATTAGTTGCTTACATATAAACATTTGATGCTAAACAACTCTTATTTCTTGAGGTAATATAAGAGAGAAAACTGCCAAATGGTCACAGCCCTTCTTTAAAAAAACAGTCATTTCAGTTGAGGGTCTTTAAAAATATAACATAATGTCTGGTCATCCCAAGAGCTTGCAAAAAAGGTTAATGGGCCTAGGGACAGGAGCCAAGGCTTTGCTTTAGGATAACTTATAAATCCCAATGGATTTATAAGGCTGTGTGGGCTAAAGATCTGAAATTCTGGAACAGCCATTTATACCATCAAATGCCTCTTTGTTTCCTCCTGATGAAAGAAGCTCAGCATTAAAAAATGTACAGATGGCATTTAAATTTGTCATACAAACATTTTCAAATATTGGAAATGTCAGGCTGTTTAGAGTGACTTTCTTCATTTATGGTGGAACTGTGCAAACAACCCAATATTGCAAGGCTTGCTGGAACAAAATTCAGCTGATTTTTACTTATCCAAATACCTATTGATTCACCAATGATGTTTCTGAATATATTTATTTATTTATTTATTTAAAACATTCTGAACAGCAGTGTCATGTTCCCCTTCAGTCTTCTAAATAAAACACATGGCAGCCCATCAGGTAAACAAGCCTGCTTTCTTACATTGTTGCTGAAACTTCACATAAAAATCTCTATACATACGTCCAAGGAAGGGAAAAAATAACACTCCCAGTACAATCCTAAGAACATAAGACCATAAAAACATAAGAGAAGCCATGTTGGATCAGGCCAATGGTCTATGTGTCACACAGTGGCCAAAACCCAGGTGCCATCAGGAAGTCCACCAGTAGGGCCAGAACTCCAGAAGCCCCTCCCACTGTTGCCCTCCCAAACACCAAGAATACAGAGCATCACTGCCCCAGACAGAGTGTTCTGTCTATTTCGTTGCTTTTGTTCATGTTTATCCAATCGCCTCTCTTTTTTTGCCATCAAGTAAAGCTGACTTCTGGCAACCCCTAGTGGGGCTTGAAGACAAGGGGCATTCAGAGGTGGCTTGCCATCACCTGGCTCTGCATCATGACCCTGGTATTGCTTGGAGATCTCCCTTCCAAATACCAGCCAGGGCCGGCCCTGCTTAGCTGCCGAGATCTGATGAGATCAGCCATGCCTGGGCTATCCAGGTCAGTGTTATCCAATCCCCTCTTGAAGCTGTCTATACTGCCCCAGACAGAGTGTTCCGTCTATTTCGTTGCTGTTGTTCATGTTTATCCAATCGCCTCTCTTTTTTTGCCATCAAGTCAAGCTGACTTCTGGCAACCCCTAGTGGGGCTTGAAGACAAGGGGCATTCAGAGGTGGCTTGCCATCACCTGGCTCTGCATCATGACCCTGGTATTGCTTGGAGATCTCCCATCCAAATACCAGCCAGGGCCGGCCCTGCTTAGCTGCCGAGATCTGATGAGATCAGCCATGCCTGGGCTATCCAGGTCAGTGTTATCCAATCCCCTCTTGAAGCTGTCTGTGTTTGTAGCCGCCACCACTTCTTGTGGAAGTGAATTCCACGTTAATTACTCTTTGGGTGAAGAAGTACTTCCTTCTATCTCTTCTAAGCTTAAAGGTAAAGGTAAAGGTTCCCTTGCTCGAAAGCCAGTCGAGCGACTCTAGGGTTGCGGTGCTCATCTCCGTTTCAAAGCCGAAGAGCCAACGCTGTCTGAAGACGTTTTCCATGTGGCCGGCATGACTAAACACCAAGGCGCACGGAACACTGTTACCTTCCCACCAAAGTGGTACCTATTTATCTACTTGCAATTTCTTGCTTTCGAACTGCTAGATTGGCAGGAGCTGGAACTAGAGACGGGAGCTCCCTCCGTCATGCGGCAATTCGGGTCTCGAACTGCTGAACTACTGAAATTCCACAGCCTGCAGTTCATTGAGTGCCCACGAGTTCTTGTAATGCTCTCTCTAAGCTATACAGTCTTGTGAGCAAAAATTTTACTTGGTGAGCTACTGGCATTAAAGTTGTGAGTGAGCAATTTGGCTGCTGCATAAATTAATCTGTTCTGGAGCCATCCTTCCTGAGCTAAGACAAAAATGTGTAATCGGAGGCGAAAAAACTGTGAGCTAGCTCACACAGCTTAGAGGGAACACTGAGTTCTTGTATTGTGAGAAAGGGAGAAAAGTACTTCTTTCTCTACCTTCTCTATCCCATGCATAATTTTGTAAACCTCCATCATGTCACCCCTCAATTGTCGTTTCCCCAAGCTAAAGAGCCCTAACCTCTTCAGCCTTTCTTGACAGGGAAGGTGTTCCATCATTTTAGTTGCCCTTTTCTGCACCTTTTCCGATGCTAAATCCACTGAAGGCAATGGGCATAGAGAAGTATGTAAGCATGTTCTGGATTGCTTTACAGGTTATCTGAAGAAGAGTGCATGTGCACTCAAAATGCATCAGTGATCAAAACGTGAAATACTTTAAAATATTTGTGTGGGGGTTTTTCTGATGCCTTTCTGTTTCTGATGCCTTTTGTTTTTTTAAAGAAGGGCTGTGATCATCGCATTTTTTTGTGGTGGGCAGACTGATGCCACCTCCCCTCATTTTACATCTCAGCCAGTATTTATCCTCCCACACCTGTATTGATCTAGTTCTGTTCAATATATCTACATTTTATATTCAAACTGAATAGTTGTAAAGCACTTTAAAGAAACTGTATTTAAAAACTGTCTTAAATGGAGTCTGTCTCACACCCCAGTACTAGGAAAGTAACATGCATTTTTAGGATGCTTAAAAACCCGCTGCACGAAGCGCAAGCAAGAGCTGGAATTTGTCTCAGGCTCCCAAAGATATAAAATGCTCTACTAAAAAAAAAAAGTCTAATTTTTTAACAAAATTAATCCCCCAAAAAAGAGTTAAAACTGCTACTGTTAGCTGAGTTGCACTTCAAAAAGGCCTCAGGCATCAAACTGTACCATTCAATCATTCAAAGAAAACCCATCAGGAAGGCAAAGGAACAGATGTTCTCCCTTTTGGCTCTTTCCCAGCAGGTTGGGAGAAAGTTGCAGTTTAACAAATTCCCTTTGCAGTATCTTAAGCCAAGCCTGGTAGGGAAAACAGGCAAATGAACCAACATCTGCTTTTCAGGGCCCCTAACACCACCATCTAGGACAGGTTAACTCCAAGGACACCAGCCAGATTAAAGGTGAAAGAAGTAGTAACCAGCCATATCAGCCCACGCCAAATCCAAAACAAACAAACCAAATCAGTGTAACACCTTTTCATTAGGACCAACCAAAACGTCATGCGTTGTGCAGCCTTTCCGGTACACTAGAATATTTTGACACGTCAGATGTTAAACAAGTAGAATGGGGGGTAGCCGTGTTGGTCTGAAGCAATAGAACAAAGTTAGAGTCCAATGGCACCTTTAAGACCAAAAAAGTCTCACACCTTGAATAAAACTTTGTTGGTCTTAAAGGTGTCATTGGACTCTAAGTAGAATTGCTGTTGACATCAGATCACAGCACTTGCACCCTGGAAAGAAGTACTAAACAATGGACGACAGGGATGACACCCTGGCTTGATAGGCAGGTAGAAATCCCAGGACTTAAACCGCTTAGTTGGACCACTTTGAAAACAGCTTGGAAGAATTCATGGAGGACTGGTCCACCAGGGTTTATTAACCATGATAGCTAAATGGGTCTCCCATGTCTAGTGCTGGTGGAAAACTGAAAATCAGGTACTGGAGAGACCAACAGTGGTTTCTCTCCGCTGCAGCATTTAAACGTCCAATGGCATAGTT